CTACATCCCTGGCTGGATTGGCTCAGTGGTTGTACTGCTGGCCTGTGGTCGAGAGAGACCGGGATTCAGTTTCCGCTAAGGGCAGATACCTCGGTTGCAGTTTGTCCCCAGCCCTGGCTGGGTCCTGTGGGTGGCAACCACTCAATGTGCCCCTTTCATATCGTTGTCTCTCTCTTTCTCTCCTTCCCACTTTATCTGAACAAAAAATGAAAAAATGTCCTCGGGTGAGGATAAAAAACAAAAACAAAAATTAAGAAGCCCTCCAGGTGGATCTGAGAACCACACTGCTTTAGAAAGGGAGTGGGGTACTACAATTGGTCCAGCTGTGTCATATGCCACTTGGATGTTATTACTACAAAAAAAATGCGGTACTGGCCAGACAAAAACAACATGTATCCACTGTATGTCTTTTTCAGGAGGAAACCAATCGATGAGTGTCTCACATCAATGTTTCTTTCTCTCTTTCTCCCTCCTATTCTATCTGTAAATCAGTGGAAAAATTATCTTTGGGTGAGGGGGAAAAAAAAAGATTTATCTTCAAAGCCATTAACTCAAAGCTTAAGAAATAAATAATCCCGAGAACAGTACTTGCAAGGACCATGAAGATAAATGGTTTGTGAAAAACCATTTTGCTTCCTCACATACTCCACATCCTAAAATTGTAGTTACTAATTTATAATTTATCTGCTGAGTTCAGCTACCCTTACAGACAGAAGATCATGATTCTGCAGTGTCAAAGCTCAAGGATTGACTCTGATTCTGGAACTGGAAGAATGTAGCCTATTGTACAGTGCAAGAAGCCAATCTCAGTGCCTTTCTGACAGCATAGTCGAGGCTTCCCAATTCACACAATGCCTTTGGATCCCAAATAACTAAATTAACTACTATGTGACCCCCAGAGAAAAGCTGGACTCATCACTTCTGCAAAGCCAACCAAATCTTTTTACAAGCATTCAGTTTACCACTATAACCAGACTCTTGAGCAAATCCTCAGTTACCTATTTCAACTTCTTTTTTTCAGTGCCAAGAAATCTGGAGCCTATATGTTATAGATGGAGTTCAAAGCAAACTGGTGCTGCTGCTCCTTTGAACACAATCAGTCTTAGATGCCTAAAATGTGTACCTTATTAATACTGCTTCGTTCTTCATTCATATGCAGAGAAAAACAAACTTACTGTGGAAACCATCCAAAGATGACTAAATCTTCCAGTGGACAGCAACTTTTCTCAAGAAACAAAGATGTAAAGGAAAGTTAGTATTGCTCCTAAAGTTTCCTTAAAAACTTTATGAAATGGTAAATGGTTTTAGTTTATCAGTAACAGTAGTTAGATGGTTCTAGTTGTTGCCCTGAACTAATGCCTAATGCTCAGGGTAATAAAGCAAACAAGAACAATGTGGACAATTAAAATGTGCAGATAAATCCAAACCCCTTTTATAGAATTTCACTAATGCCTCTCACAAAAATTTTATGAATCAGTTAATGGGCTGTAAAGGGATTCATCTGGGATTTTCTATTTCCATGCTAAAGAACAAGAAAATAGCCAAAGGACAAATAGAAAAGCAAAGTCTGGATACACTTACCTGAATAATGAAACTCTGAGCGCCCAGCACTATTGTTATTTTTTAACCTATCCCTTGTTTATGATTTTAAAAAGGACTGGTTAGAATTAAGTGGGCTAATCAAATTTTTTTGTGGGATGCTTTTAGTCAGAGGCTCTCATAAAAGGAATTACAAAGTATATTTAAATTAATATTCCCCAAATATATGTGCCTCATCCATTTACTAACTTCTATATGTTATTTTAATATAAACCTTAATGTGTTATAATGTAACTCCTAGGAGCTTAAAAAAAGTAGATGGTTATTTTTCTTTAGCTAAAAATACTGTATGTGCACAGCTAACAAATGGTGCAGCAAGTTTTCCCTAAATACATAAAATTAACTTACTGTATTTTTTAAACCACTTAGGAAAAGCACTATTTTAGGATGTTTATATAATGCAATACAACTGAACATTTACAGTTACTCCATTAAACCCTTGTTTCACTTAAATCATCACAAACTAAAGCCCTGTCTAAATCTGAATTGTGAACATTAAATCACTCCCTGAGCACAAATACATATTTTGATGTATACAGAACTGAGAAAAAATTTTTCTAGAAACTATTTTTCATAGCTCTCAGAAAAATCTCACCTAACAGTGTGGGTCAATCTTTAATTATATTCAATGTAATGATGTAATTTTGTAGTTGGAAATTTTTACTCTATACTTTATTTAACAAGCACTTATTAAGCACCCAGGTTTTGAGTATATCTTCCTAAGGAAAAAATGTACTTAAAGAAATAAATGGGTGGATTGAAACTTTTAACAGGCAGGCTAGCCTGTAATACCAGTTCATTTTCAAAGGGAGCAGGAGCATCAAATAACCTTTGTGAGAACAGGGGCACGAAGTTAATGGAAACAAGAGACCTCAATGGCAAAATTCTTAGAAACTGGGACCAAGCAGGAAAAAAAGAAGAAGGAATTCAGCAAAATCCACAAAAGATTAATATAATGTAGTCAGTAGAAGACTGGCTCTCATGCCCATGCATCCCATGATGGGAACATCCTGAGCCAGGTTTGTCTTAGGGAGGTCTAGGTGAGTACAGTATATGACTAGAGCAGGGGGCTATTTAGAGGGTATAAGAGGTGGGCTAAAACAAACTATCTTTTCTGGCTTTCTCCCCGCCCAATAAAAAAGTACATGATCTTTAAATTCAGGTCAGTAAATTTAATATTACAACATGAGCTACTAACCAAAAATCCAACTTTTCCCATGTCCACTAATTTCAAAATTAAAGGCTTAAAAAATCAGTTGAGGTTATTATGTCAGCTATGATGCATTTACACAAAAGTGAATCAGTTGACTCAGAAATTATATAATGCCTTGTAAGCAGAGGTAGCTACCAAACTGCACACATTTCTGAATTATGCCAAAAAAACTCACCATTTTCTGTCTCCCATGTTCAGTCTCAGGACCATAGGCAGCTCTACTTTCGACTATTTTATTGTTATTCCTCTATTAAAACGCATGCTTCCTTATGAAAGAGCTTTGTACATAGAGAATTTGTTACTTTAATGCTCACTATATTCTGTAAAATCATACTGTTTTAATATCGCACGGTATACTAACAGTAGGGAGAGAGTTATAATACCTGGTTTAAGAGATTGTCTATAAAGAACACTCGTAGAATTTAAAAGGTTTGTGTGAACCAAACTAAAAGTATCTGAAAGTATTTCAATTTGGGGGGGTTTACATTTAAAAGAATAAGACTCTTTTATTTTTTCCTCATCAAGCTTTTCAGTTTAAATCCTATAGCCAAGCATGAACACATCTTGCTCAAATCTAATTATGTTGAGTCTATTATTTGGCTTTAGAAAATTTGAAGCTGTCAAACTTCTAAATTTATGATTAAATGTATTAAATGCTAATCCATAAAAATACTTTCCCAAAAGTATATATATGTAGAGATTTAAAAGTAATTAATTAAATCTATACATATCTATTTTAAAGAAAAGATTAGATAACTTGGGAAATATTGTCATGTAATCAACTCTAACTTTAGCCCTTTACAACTGTATTGCAACTTTATTTAACTTAGTAAAAGCCAAAATTGATGGTTTTTAACATGATATGTGAAGATCAAAATCAAGGAATACAAAGTACCTTAAAAAAAAACAAAAAACATTCAGCTCAATACTGGTTCCCTCAATATTAATACCAAACTTCTGTGAAAGAAGTCTTGTATAAAGAAAGACTAACAGCAACATAGCAAATGATTTTTTAAAAAGTTCATTTACCAAATTTAACGATCTAGAAAAAAAGAAAGTATGTCTATAATACTTGATAACACAGACATCATGTTTAAGTAGAAAACACAAGGATAAAAACAGTAATATCACTAAAAATATTGCACAACTTCAGGTGTTTCCTCCAAATTTGCTTTATGTAATTTGGTGGATATAAATTAATGAACAAAAATTAAGCAAGATACATGTAACAATTTAACAAAACCTGACAATTTAATTCCTTTCATTTTTTTCTTAAATTCATCTTTTTAAGTCTTTCCATTATGGGGCTCATAATAAAATTAACCAACATATGGATACTACAGTCAAATATCAAATCTTTAAGAAGTACTTATGACATACTAAATTCCTCTATAATGCAGTTATGAAGAACCTTCAAGATATTTGTGTTTTGTATGTAGAAAAGTGTTAGAGTCAAAAATTCAACTCAATATAAAATAATAAGAAACATTTCTGATTTGTTAGGTTGAAACTGTTTCTCCTTTTGCTAATGAATGATTTTTTTTTACCTTGTAATATCACTGAGCTGAACAAATAAACCACCTTTGAGTACATAACGAAAAATAAACACATGCTAAATGGATAAAACATTACAACTACATCTTTACTAGACCATCTCTACCTCTACCACTTCAGAAGCTTAGAGATTCAGTGTTCTTACATTAACTGCAAGAAAAAAAAATAAAGGAGAAATTCCTTCCTTTTTGAGATCACAACTGTGAAGTCATGTAGTTATACAAATTCTGCATTTGTGTGCAAAACATGAAATACATATATCTTAATTCTCCTTGCTCACTAGACTTATCAGTCAGCTAGCAGGACTTTCCAAGAAACAGAGACTGAGATATGTTTCGTATAACTTCAATAACCTCAGCATTACAATAATAAGAGATGCAGTATCCTTTTGCTATGGTTCAAGACAACAGGGAAGGAGGTCACAAGAAAGAATAAATCATAATTGCTAAAACTGAGAAACTTTTCTCTGTTTCACCATGGTGCCACTGTCATTTTTACATAAGCATTGTGGCATAATTCAAGCTCAATAAATCAGAAATCTTAATATTTAAAATTTACCTCGACTTTTAATTATCACCATATTAACCAAAATAATTAGATAAAACACATAGGAAAGGGTAATATTAAACCCCACTTCACCAGAATTTGTTTCTTGACACATTAAACTAATTTTTTTTTTTTTTAACAGAAAGGGATAGTGCATCTCAGTTTGCTTACAAGCTAGGAGATCACTTTGAATTCTGCATTTCCTAACTGCAAACAGATATAGCACTTATAACAGGTTATAAATAAACTGGTTTTCAAGCATAGAGCCAGCCCCAACGATAATAATACACTATTTAAAAAGACCTAAGGCAATGAATTCCATTTCCAATGGAAAAAAAGAACTGTGCAAACAAGCTTAAAACTACTTATTTTTTTGTGCCAGTGTTATAAAATGTAGCTTTTAATAAAACCTTGACCCAAATGCCAGCAACTTCAGAAAAGAATTTGGGTGGGGAAAAGTTATTTCATTTAGGAAAAACAACCACTATCTTTTTCCTAATCTTCACACACAATTTAAACATATACAGCTGCTGTAACACTTTACACAATTACCTATGTAGTGGAGCAATAACAAGACCTAAATACAATTATATATTTTTAAACACTGGGTCAAGGCTTTACATAAAAATACCATCCTACTTTTCCCCCTAACATTTCTAAAATATGACATACTTTCCCTCAACATCTGCAGCCATTCAGGAATTTTTAGGAAACTTTTGTGCATGATCTTAATTCCTAATCCCTGGCTCTTTGGGCTCAGTGACAAAAGATCAAAACCACCAAAAATGATGGTTCACTTGAAGTCAGATGAGAGACCCTGGCTCAATTAGTCTCATAGGACGAAAGCAGTGCTGCATCAACTGGCTCCATGCAGGAGGGGCATGTGAAGGATCTCATCAACCAGTCATCTATACAGTCCAGGTGATAGATGTGCATGCACGGCAGAAATCGAATTGGGTCCCCATAAACAAAGTCCATCATACAGATCACACACCTGTTGGGAGAGAGAGAAACCAGAAAGCAATTTTAGAGAAGCGATCTATCTAGAATACTCTTTAAAATCCCATTACAAAGATAGTGTTAATCTGAACAGGTAAAAATGGCTTGCCAGTTATCCTACCACCAAAGCAAATTGAAATTTTTTCCTATAATGGTTAAACCATCTACAATCTATTATTTCAATCCCCTAGAAATATGCAGAGTTTGAGAGCAATCATCAGAACAAGAGAAATGGACCACACAAGAATCAAGTCCATTGCTAGAACTGTGCTTGTAAAACAGCTACATGTAGAAGGCACTGAAAGAATGTGATGCTTTAGGTAGGAAACCACCAGTTAGATAAACTTCGTTTATGCGAACTGAGTTTTTAGTTTAAGTCCAGGAGTAAAATAGTTTTCCTTTTAATAACTATACATATATAAAAACAGAACCACTAATTTCAGCCTATTTACTGGGCTCTTACAGGCTGGAATTCTCTTCATCAACCCATTTCAAGTTCCCTGCACTTTTCTGTATGTTCAAGAAGCAACCCAATTCTGCAGTGTTTCAAAAGTCAGTGTTTAGCCCTGGCCAGTGTTGCTCAGTGGTTAGAGCATCTGCCTGTACACCAAACGGTCCAGGGTTCAACTCCTGGTCAAGGGCACATTCCTGGGTTGTAGGTTCGATCCCTGGCCCCAGCTGGGGTTGTACAGGAGGCAGGTAACCAATCGATGCGTCTTCTCATACTGATCTTTCTCTCTCTCTCTCCTTCCCTTTCTTCTACTCTCGAAAAAATCAGTGGAGAGTTCAACTGGTGTGGCTCAGTGGTTGAGCATCAACCCACGCACCAAGAGGTTGCCAGTTCAATTCCCAGTCAGGGCACATGCTCAGGTTGTGGGCCAAATCCCCAGTGGGGGGCATGCAGGAGGTGGCCAATCAATGTTTCTATCTTCTCTCCCTCTCCCTTCCTCTCTTTCTAAAATCAATTAAGAAAAATAAATAAATAAATAAAATCAATGGAAAAAAAATCCTTGTGTGAAGATTAACAACAACAAAAAAAGTCAGTGTTCTAGATAGGTTATGATCTTAAGTCCTAGCACTAAATGGTGCTATGGCTCAAACAGTCAAACATCAACACAGTACATTAGATCACGCCTGTATTGGCAAGACCACTTTCAACCTAAAAGGAATATGGCTGTCTTCACTTGAAACTCTCAGACAATAACTCTGAGGACAAAAACTCCCAGAAGTAAAATTTTGTATTCAATTCACCAGGCTTAACACAATTATTCCACAAGTTAAGAACAGATATAAAATTTTCCTCATATCACTGAAAACCCTTGGTAAATAATTTTTTTTTTCAGTCTGATAGCTTTTATTTATATATATCAAAAATTCTAAGAATAAGCCAGCAGATTATGGCTAAATAACCTACCAAAGTATTTCTATACCACAATTTACTTAACTATACCTCTACTATTGTTTTTCACTAAATAAAACTACAGTAAATATCTTTATGCATAAAGCTATAGAAGTTACAGTGATGTAACATTTTGGGATAGATCTCTGCAATTAACTGTTTCAAAGGATATAAATCTGAAGGTCCTTGACACACTGCCAAATTACTTTCCCAGCTGACAAGGCAATGTTGGTACTAGTTCATATTTACACAGACCAATTGTTTTTTAACTGACATCAACTTTCATCCAAATAGACACAAGCAACATATAAAATGGTCAGAATTCACACCATCATTTAAAAGCTATTTTTACATGAAAATTATTCTTAAATTGCCACATCTGAATACTCTCTTTCATTAACTGTTTATATTATCTGACTTCCATAATACAGGAGAATATTTTTCAAAAGAAAGTATCTTAAAATAGACCTTTAAAACATGTATAAATTTATTGAAACTTACTCCCGGATCTTTTTTTCTGATCCATCTCTTCCAGGGTCATAAACTCCTTTAGGCAGATGTTGTATAAGGCCTATTCTTTGAGCTATCCTAATTTGTTCCTCTTCAGTCAGCTGAGTTGCTAGGCGAGTCTGGCTAGGTGTTGGATGATAGACTGGAACTGGAACTTGTTCCTAAATTTTAAGAAATGTAGAAAAGAATTATTTTTTAAAAAATCTCCAAGTTTCCCAGACAAGAAAAAGTTAAAGGAGTTCATCACCACCAAACCGTTATTATATGAAATTATGAAGGGTCTTTTTGAAGAAAAAAATAAAATATATGAATAAACAAAATGGCAATGAATACATATCTATCGACAATGGAATCTACAAACAAAATGATCAGGTAGAACAGAAACATTCTCATAGATACAGAGAACATTTTGTTGGTTGCCAGATGGGAGGAGGGGGGTTGGGGGAATGGGTGAAAAAGGTGAAGGGATTAAGAAGTACAAATTGGTTGCTAAACTGACAAACCTCAAAGGGAAAGGGGTTGGGGGGGGTGGGAAGAAATAAACCAAAGAACTTGTATGCATAACCAATGGACACAGACAATAGTGTGGGAAAAGGCGGGAGGTGGATGGGAGTGGGGAGGAGGAGGTCAATGGGGGAAAAATGTGGAACATCTGTAATACATTCTACATTCTATAATAAAGATTAAAAAAAAAAATCTCTTTCTAGGTTTATATTTTCCTTTTGTTTCTTCTTCTTTTTTTTAAATCCTCATCCGAGGTCTTTTCCCCTTTTTTGTTTAGATAGAGTGGGAGGGAGCGAGAGGAAGAGAGAGGGAGGGAGAATCATCGATGTGAAAGGGACACATTGAGTAGCTGCCTCCTGCAGGACCCCAACTGGGGGGGGGGGGGACGACGACGAATCGCAACCGAGGTACATGCTCTTGACCGAAATCAAACCTGTAACTCCTTGGTCCAAGGGCCGACTAACCACTTAGCCAAACTGGTCAGGGCGTGTTTCTTCTTTTTTGGCTGGGGGTGGGCTTGGGGAGAGGTAGGCTGAGATAGTGTATAGTAGTAGTATAAGATTCTGTTCTACTTTGACCCCCCGCCCCCCACGTGCCCCTAGCGGGAACCGAACCGGGGACTCTCTGGTCTGCAGGCTGATGCTCCAGCCGCTAAGCCAAACCAGCCAGGGCTGTTTTACTATGCTTTAACTTTAGCATATCTGACCTACTTTGAAGGATATACAGTAAAAACAAGCTTCCCTGAAAAAATGGAATGTTATGTGAAATATTTCTCCATGAAGACCATAAAACCCAGACATATTCATTCCTGATACGCAAATACATAAATCAATATAATTAATTAAGCTAACAAATTATATGCGATATTCTGTAGGTCACAATGGAGTTTTGTGGCCTCAGTATACCATTATTTACATTAAAACTGGCCACTAAAGACTCTTATTTGCAAACTTAGTTTTTCTTTCCACATAGACAGCAACCTTAAAATTATTATTTACTTGAAAAGTTTACTTTTGCAATAAACTTTTGTAAAATCCTTTTTAGGCTTTTGAATACATATTTGGATGTGAAAATTGGGTGAGCCAAAATGAGGCCATCTTTCCTCCCAAACAGAATACATAGCTTTCAAGGATATAAATTAAATAGCCAAATATCAACTTATCACATTCATTTACTTACATATACTAATATGTAAGTAAAATATAGTAATTTAGACATATTGCCATATTGTTTTTCTACTCACATTTATAAAATAATTTTACTCATACTGTTCGTAAATTCTTTCAACAGATATTCACTGAGTATCTATCATGTGTCAGGTGATAGGGTATTGAGAATAAACAAAATAAAGTTGCTAGAATGATGAAAGATGCACCTTTAGATAGGATGCTGAGGGAAAACCTCTCTGATGAGATATTTGAGAAGACACCTCAATGAAGTATGAGTAAGATAGTCTTTGATTTCACTGTGGCTAGAACTATTTGAGACACTTAATATGTTTTCCAGAGAACATCTCTACTGAATAAAATGACTGAGACATAACACTTTGAATCCATGTATGAAACTTTCATGGAAAATATAATGTCAAATCACAACTACTTACATTACATTAGAAAATACTATTTCCATTCATCTTGTAGGATCACTGACAATCTCTACAATTAAAGTACTTGTTTACAATGATAGCCAACATTTGCAACTGTGAGATTTTGCCTCCAGGAATAACTGCTAAATTTATGTTAAGATTTTTTTTAAAATTCTATGAAATAACCTCCATAATCATCCTGGGCTAGCATCAATTGAGGCTGTCTTGAGTTAATGGCTTCTGTGGTTCAAAATAAAATAATTGAGAGAGCACCCACAATGAAAATTTATAAGGGCCCAAGTATAAATATCCTTTTCACAGAGAAATTTTAGGAGGAAGCCTCAGATAGATATGAACTAGGCTCAAATACTGAAATATTTAATTCAAGAAAAAAAATACTTCCACATTGTCTCCTAAAGATACCATTATGCTCCTTTAAATTATCCTTATCTTCATAAACTTCTTTTCTGACAGGAGTTACTGAGTTTCCGGTCAAAGATAGTTCAAGACTTTAAATATTTCTTTTCTCTGAGATTCAGAACAAATATATAATTAAAGAGTTCAAACCCAGTAAATCTTTTATCAAATAATTAAGAGTATATTCTCTGGCACAAGTAAAATGCTAGAAGTTCAAAGTTTCGCGTTCTATAAATTTCCATATAAATTCATTAATAATTACTTTAAGTATTTTCATACTTCTCTCTTGCCATTTAGGAAATAATAAGCATGTGAATACTTATCAAAACTATTTCTTTATCCAAATATTTATTTCATGCATATCACATGCAAAGACATCATATTATTAAGTATGGCTATTTCTCTGCCACTTAACAGAGTGACCATGTTTAAACTATTTAACTTATCTGGATTAGATCCTACCTTACTTATAGGGTTGTTACAAGGCTTAAATGAGGAAGCTGGTGAACCTTGGAACTGCAGGAACTCAACAAATGGCAGTTGTTATATAACCATTCACATTACATTCAAAGAGCTATATCGCAGGGAAACTAACTGTTTCCTATAAGTTCCATGCTTTTTCATCTTACTGCCTTTACTCTTTTTTCTTTGACTTTTAGAGAGAGATAGAAACATCAATGACAGAGAATATCGATTGCCCACCTCCTATATGCCCCCCACTGGGGATTGAGCCCACAACCTGGGCCTGTGCCCTGACCAGGCACATGCACCTCTTGGTGCATGGGTCAACGCTCAGCCACTGAGCCACACCAGCCTGGCACTCTTGCTATTTTTTTTTTAACCTTTCCCTATAGGTTCATTGGTCTAAATTCTACCCTGTCCAGTAGGTTGTTGACATGAATAAAGCCTTTCCCAATTTTCCTCCTTGGCATCCAATATTAACAAACTCTGCCTCTAGCCTCAGCTTAATTATATGGAAAGATTATACAGATACAGGAAACTTCAGTTACATGTGCAGTCATCAAGTGAGAAGACTGTCAATTGTTCTTTCTTTTTTTCTTTCCTTTTTATTGACTTCAACGAGGTGACACTGATTAATAAAATTCTATAGGTTTCAGGTGCACAATTCTAAAACTATCATCTGTACACTGTCACAATTCTAAAACATATCATCTGTACACTGTATTGTATGTTCACCACCCCCTGTCAAGTCTCCATACATCACCATTTATCCCCCTATACTTCCCCCCATCCACCCAATTCTAGCTTTCACAGAGGAAGGTAAATACCCAACTGACTGTATTTCTCTGGTACAGCTTGAAAGCTTTCTTTCATCCCTGTGTAACTACAACAATATGACACAGGCAATATTTTGCTTTATAAACAATTATTTTTTAAAAAATGAGTATTTCCTGCCTGGCCGGTGTGGCTTAGTGGTTAAGTGTAGACCCATGCACCAAGAGGTCGCCGGTTCGATTCCCGGTCAGGGCACATACCCAGGTTGTGGGCCCAATCCCCATGCAGGAGGTGGCCAATCAATGTTCTCTCTCATTGATGTTTCTCTCTCTCTCCCCCTCTCCCTTCCTCTCTCTCTAAAATCTATAAAGAAAAAGTATTTTATTTGTTTTGGTACGTGCCCCTAGCGGGAACCGAACCCGGGACTCTCTGGTCCGCAGGCCAATGCTCCAACCACTGAAACAAACTGGCCAGGGCAAGAAAAAGTATTTTAAGTCCTGGCCGGTTTGGCTCAGCGGTAGAGCGTCGGCCTGCGGTCCAAGAGACCGGAGTTTAGTTTGCCCTAAGGGTGCGTATCCCTGTTGCAGTTTGTCCCTGGCCCTGCTTGGGTCATGCAGGTGGCAACCAATAGATGTGTCCCTTTCACGTCGATGTTTCTCTCTCTCTCTCTCCCCCTCCCACTCTATCTGAACAAAATATGGAAAAATGTCTTTGGGTGAGGATAAAAAAACCAAAAGAGATATTTAAAAAAAATATTTCCTTTTATTTTATTTTATTTATTTTTTTTATCCTCACCTGAGGACATTTTTTTTCCCATTTTTTGTTTAGAGTGGGAGGGAGAGAGAGAGAAACATCGATATGAAAGGGACACATCAAGTGGCTGCCACCCACACAACCCAACCAGTGCCGGGGAAAAACTACAACCGAGGTACGCGCCCTTAGCGAAAACCGAACCCGGGTCTCTCTGGACTGCAGGCTGATGCTCTAACCACTGAGCCAAACCAGTCAGGGCCAGTATTTCCTTTTAAATGAGCTTTGTACATATACAAAATTTTTCAGTTTGTAGCTGAAACTGATACAATATTTTATATACAACATATATATTAAAGCCCTATTTTATGCACTAGAAAAGTAACTTTGTTAATCAGGCTTTACAGTACACATATAAGTTACAACTTTAGTTATTAATGATCATAAATGTGGCCATTTCATCTCTGGTTTAGACAGTCACCACTTCAAGGTTTTATACCTACTAGGCAAGCTTTCAATGCAAAAAAGTTTCATGAATCAGACTTAAAAAAAAAGTGACCTTTGCTCTGCCACTTGTTAGCTTTCAGATCTAGACCAAGTTATTTAACATCTATGAGCCTCAGTTTCTTTACGTGTAAAGTATTAAGACCACTCTAAGAATTAGATGGG